GAGAGGGTGGGGGCGGCGGCCAGAGCCAAGGGAGAAGGTGGGGGGCTGCGGCCGGAGCCAAGGGAGAGGGTGGGGCGGCGGCTGGAGCTGAGGGAGAAGGTGGGGACACGGCGGTGCCTGGTGGAGAGGGAGGCCGCGGCGGCGTTCTGGGGGAGGGGGAGGCAGCGGCGGCGCGGTGGGGGAGGGGAGGCCCCGGTGGCGCGTTGGTGGAGGGGGAGGCCGGCGCACTGGTGGAGCTTATCAAGGCGGGGACGGGGGATCCTGATTCTTTTTTTGTCGTCTCGGGTCGGGTAGTTTAGGTTTTGAGGAAGAGGCGTTGACCCGTTGGTTGGGTAGCTGAGGTTGCTGCCAGCTCACCCGAGTTTAAGTTCCGGCTTGGACGCGTGGTGCTTGTGAAGTTTCTCCTATAAATAAATGCCAATGAGGGTTAGTCTTTGGGTTGGTCTCATTTTAACTCGTGGTTCGTCGGATCGCTCTTTATAGGACCGAAGGGTAACATAATATTATTCTGTTACTAGTAACAAAATAGTCCAGTCCATATATATATATACACACTAGTGGACCCGTTGCGCCAAATGGCGTAGAGACCCGCTGAATCCGTGTACACATTGAAAAGAAAATCCAGGGTTTGGTTAGTTTAGTTGTGGGCAAGCATACAACAACAACAATAACAAAGCCTTTAATCCCAAGCAAGTTGGGGTCCCTGTCCATAGCTAGCTCTTCGGTGATACCCCAATCTTTCAGGTCTCTCTTAACAGACTCCTCCCATGTTAAATTCGGTCTACCCCGCCCTCTCTTGACATTCTCCGCACGCTTTAGCCATTCGCTATGCACTGGAGCTTCTGGAGGCCTGCGCTGGATATGCCCAAACCATCTCGGACGATGTTGGACAAGCTTCTCTTCAATTGGTGCTACCCCAACTCTATCTCGTATATCATCATTCTGGACTCGATCCTTCCTCGTGTGGCCACACATCCATCTCAACATACGCATCTCCGCCACACCATTGGTAACAAATTTGGCTTGTTGTCTACAATGAGATGTGCATACACATTTAAATTTGGTAGCACAAAGCCCCATTGAAAACCATGTTGCGATGAAAATTATGTCTATTTTTCAATAATCTTTTGTTGAGCAAGCACATATGTTATAAATTTAGATCCCCGTATATATAAAAAAAATACATACCAGTTAAGGAGGCTTTCTTTTAAAGTAGTTCTTGTATAAAAGAAATACACATCGTTGCGCCAAATGGCGTAGAGTCCCATTTAAAACCATGTTAGCATTGAAAATGTTTTCATTTTTCAGATCAAGCACATACGGTAAGAATTTAGACCCTTTTATATAAAGAAAAACAGCATAGGCTTTTGTTTAGAAATATATATGTACCTTTAAAATCATGAGTTCCTCCAAAAAGAACATTAATTAGAAACTTTAGGTCTGAGAAAGCATGTATGATCATAGCTTTAGCCCATTAGTCATGTACTATTTGGACCCATCTATATTTCAAAGTAGGCATGTCTGTCGATGACTGATTTGCTAGCCAGTTCGGCAAGCACGTAGGTTTGAGAGAAGAACCATTCATTGAAAATATTTCTATCCAGCAGCCGTGTGATATTTAGTCTCATTTGAAAACATGACCGTATTGAAAATATTTGTATTTTTTTAGTAACTTTAGGCTTGGGCAAGCACATAGGTTTGAGAAGAACCCGTTCTACAAAATAGCACAAAAGACAAAAGCCTAATTCAAACCAAGTAAATAGAAGAATCCACGTGCATGGTCTTGGATAGTAACCTCGTTATTGAATCAATATGAATTTCTGAGATAAATTTGCAAATGAATTTTTAGAGAATTTTTTTACCCTATAGCAATGGTACGAAATCTTTTTCAAAAGTAGCTTAAGCTAGCGGCTCACAAATGTCAACCGTGACTTCTTCTCCACCACTTGTCTCATCTTCCTTGGTAGACATAGTAAACTACTGTGGTTGTCAAAAAAAAGGTTGTTCTGAAAACAAAAGATGGTGCTGCATGGAGTAAATCAGCAAGGATTTGGAACACACAGTCAAAGACTTACACCACTCTAGAGTCTATCTGAATCCATCACAGTACATTTTGCAGAAACTGCAATGATCTTCGATGTCTACAAAACCTAATCATCTTAATGAGACTCCCCCTTTTCCATAGTGGTGCAGCGGTTCAGATCAGCAAGCATGCACAATAATCATGTATCACAAGAGAGTATTTCATCATCAGAATGATATGCTTTTAGAAGAACAAATGCTATATATATATATATAAGTGCACATACCTAACCAAAATTAACAACAAATATTGCAATAGGTACAGACCTATCCATCTCAGTTGCAAAATGATCAGGCTCCATATAAAATAAAAATCACTATAGCCTCACTGAATAACTCATCATCACCATCGACAATAGGCGTGCGCATGCTTGGTTTCTCTTCAGGTAAAAACATGGCACAAACAGGCACAACCAGGTGTGGGTTAAGTTTCTTCAGGTAACAACCCAAGGTTCATACTTATGCATTGGCGATCAGCTAGAACCAACATATTCAGAACTATGGAGGACAATTTTTCAGTAATTCAGAGCTCACAATTCTCAGTATCCAATGAATTGTATATGAACCTTGTGTCCATGGTCCAACGCCAAACAACAGGGTAATAGCATGTGCAACTTTAATTGTCTGAAACAAAGGATAAACAGAGTGATTATGCCACTTCAAGAAAATATCGGTGACGCTCCCATGTATTTGGTAAAACAAATGTTTAGAACGAAGTATGTTAATGACAGACCTCATGTTAATGAAAATGAAAATAGTGTATTCCTATTTAGACAACTTTATTCTGTAACCTTTTACTTAACTTCAGTGTTACTTGATTTTAAAGTTGATGGCTTTATTTATGAAGTCGGACATGGTGCCTTATCTCTAAAAAAACTTCACATGAAATCTAACCTGATTCAGTATTGCTATATTAAAGAAAAGATCATTCTATGAATAAAGATGCACCAGCCCCATACATATTTTAAATAAATTTTTTACTGTGATGATGCATTCTCTATCAATAAAACAAAGAACTGAAGAAGAAAATTTAAGTATGCACGAATGAGACAGGATCACAACATGATATATACTGAGTGAGCATGAACTTCGATACAAACAAAAAAGAAAGATCATGAACAATAAAATATATATTTGCTCAATTTTTTTCAGTGGCAAGCAAATAAATTTGTTTACTTAGGAAATGATGCTTCATGTCACACACACACCAAAGTAAGGAACATAATTTCCTCCTCTTTACTTGCAAAGATCAACAAATTATTGCACTTACCTGATACAATTATGTTCTTTTAGTTGGACTGCACCCTATACCGCCAGGGATATCGTGCAGAACAATACGGAAATCCATCATCATAAAAAATATCCATAAGAAATCATGCACACACAGCAGGATAATAAACCCGATGTAAGGAGGAACGTCCGTGGAAGAAAAAATCTCACTGAAGAGAAGAGGTCATAATTAACTAATGCACTTTTGACAATGAGGCCGGACAAACTCCCAAGGGTTTTGGGTTAAAATCAGAGCAGCCGAAGAGCACTTTTTTACTGTTGAGTCCCCATCCCTACCGCACATAAGCTGGAGGCTTGCATGGAATATTTATTTCTTGAATGCTAATCAGATCATCAACATGCCACAGATAGAAGGGAAACCCATTGCATGAAAGCAGCCAAATAGCAACGACAAACAATTTAGTTTGCGATCAAGGACAAGAATTGCTGAATGACAAACCCAAAAAGAAACACTA